CAACTATAAAACCCTTGTCAAAAATATGCTGTCATCGTATCAAAAGATGGGGGGTACTATGTCTCTTAAGATACATTTTCTACACTCACACCTGGACTTTTGTCCTGACAATTGCGGAGCCGTAAGTGATGAGCACGGCGAACGTTTTCATCAGGATATTTCAACAATGGAAAAAAGGTACCAGGGAAAGTGGAATCCTTCCATGCTTGCAGACTACTGTTGGACTCTTGGTAGAGATGCTCCAGAAACGATCCATAAAAGAACAGCAAAAAGACAGCGCATATAGTGATTCTTATAAGTATATAATCTTGTTACTTTTTTTAATATATCCTTAAAAATAAAAAGTTTTTTTTCTAAGCCGCAACTATTTTTTTTATTTCATTGTCATTTTTGGATTCAGCGCCCCAAAATTAACAAAGAAGTGCACTTTTCCCACAAGATACAATTAAAAAACTAAAATTTGTTGTCCAGTATATCAGAGCTACGAACACTATCACACAACCATGTTTCACTTAATGCAATTAACTGAAACTCAGTATCGCTGAACTCCATCAATCTTAGTATTTAGGCCTCGAACGTTTTGGTAATAGCAACATAGTTGAGAAGCACCGTTGGAACAATCTAGTTTTTCGATTTTACAATTTTCGGATTACCATTTAAGTATTTTGTTCTGTATTGCGACGTCTCTCCCGAATTTTTTGACCTCAATTCTTCCCGTAATTTCTTCAGGTATTCAATTTACAAGATATTCATATTAACTTTTAACATATCACTATAAATCTCATAGTAATATTATAATTTATAGGACTTTTCCTATTTACACATAAAAGGCTATAAATCTGAAAACCTACACCCAATATCTTAATGCAGCTGGACAAAAAATAAGTCGAGTCCTTCCCGATTTCGTGGACATAAATTATTTGCCGACAAAAAATGATGTATTGCTTCCAGTATACACGAAAGGGGTGCCTCCCGAATATCCAAATAATGTTTTTTTCATGAGAGTGTTTTACATTGCTGCAATATGTACAAAAAGTGAGTTTTAAAGTGTTTTCGTCCACATCGCATAGGCGGGTAGATGTAGGGGAAAACGGGATTCCCCGGATTTGTCCTAGTTTAGAGGGTATCTGGGAGACGTCCGGAAGGGGTCTTTTGGGATGTGTCTCCAGAAGATTGCGTGATTTCAGTCAAAATGCATATATCTATTAGTATGCGTTGGTTTTCTATATACTGATGTAATGGAGGAACCATTATGCCTTTCGACAGATATATCTAGACAAGGAAGGATACTGTTTTGTTCAATATCAATTGTAAGATTGATTTTTGGTTCTGTGGTGTTTATTTCTATCAAAAAATTATTTATATCATCCATAGTGTAAGTCCATATCCCAAAAATGTTGTCTATGTATCGCCACCAGATTATTAGTTTCGTCGTGTCGTTTAAAATTAAAGACCTTCCAATAAGCTGGACTCTTCATTTTCTCTCAATGATCCGTCTAAAAGATTAACTACAGTTCTTTGTAACGAAGGTATATTGGTAGATGAATCTCTAATATTTTTTAATTGTTTGCATAAATATGCTAGATTCTAATTCTCTTATTTGGTGACACATTAAAAAAAACTATGCTGTAGTAATTGCGTGCATTTCTAGATGTTGCCAGTCAAATTCTTCAACTGGAAATTTTCTTTGTTTCTCTTATTGTAACTGTGTAAATCTGCATTTTTTGCACATTATGATTCATTTTGCTTAGTTCAACTAATACATACTGCGATAAATACACAATGAACGTCTAACTATCTTCTTTGAAGTCCAAAAACGTGTTTCGCATGGGATGTTTGCTCACCATTTGAGATAAATCCCTTATTAGAAAAATAAGTTAACTCAATTTTCTTGATAGTTCATATTCACAATTCGTGACTCAAAATGAAACATCATACACAGAACCGCATTTTAAGAGGGCCTTCTATGTAACATTTTTTCCTCGGGGGCTTTATTAAAAATATACGGGATGTTGAAGTTTAAAAATAAAAAACATTTTTTTAATATCCTCAAAACCTTCAACTGGAACGAACTGAAATATGTTTTTTTTCGAAACGCCCAATTTTTCGAATTTTACTTTCAATTTGCTACAATTAGTTATTTTTGTGTTTTTCTCCTGGAGTGCTTTGTTTAATAAAAAAACAAATTAGATAATCTAAACTTTATTTCAATAAATGTTCAAATAGACCACAATTTTAACGGATACAAGTGCAATATCTTTTTAATAAAGAAAAACGTATTTCCTCAAAATTTGTTGTGGCTTAAACTTGATGAAACGCATTATCTATTCTTTCTTGTAACTGATCAACAGTATATTGTTCAGCATATACTAGTTTCTTAAAAGCGTCCCACAAAAAGAAACCCAGGGAGTTCAAATCAGGAGACTTCGCAGGCCCATGTACGGGTCCGTTTCTACCAATCCATCGTTGTCTAACATGATTATTTAACGATGCGGTTATGTCACGACGAACACGCGGTGGGGCACCGTCATGCTGATCCCACATTCGTACTCTCGTTGCGAACGGAACATCATCTAACACATTTTCTATGTAATTCTTTAGAAAAGTTAAGCTTTATAGACGATATGGCATTACGTGCATAAGAAAAAGAAAATGCCGCACCAGACATTACTAGAAAATCTGTGTTGAAACGAGTGGATTCTTACCAGAGCGGGGATTTTCTAACCAATATGTTTATCATGAGAATTAAAGGTTCCACTCCTCGTAAAAAGCGGTTCATCTGACCACAAAACCAAATCACTAAAATCTGCATTTCCTTTATGCATTTTGCAGGATGTAAAACTTCTCGATTTTAAATTCTCCACGCAACACTTTGGGAACATGGTAACGAGGCTGCAATCCGCCTATTGCTTGTACTAGGGTCATCCAACGCCAAATTAGTCACTTTCAGTTCCTCATATTGCCGAAGTCTTAGAAATGAACGCGCAAAAACCTTTGGGGTAGGTTGGCGTCTGTTAGGAAATCATCAAAACTTCAACACCCCTCGCCCTCGAGGAAAAAATGTTACATAGAAGACCCGCCTTAAAATGCGGTCCTGTGTATGATGTTTCATTTTAGTCACGACTTGTGAATCACCCTGTATATGATCTTCCATGTCATTTGCGAATCAAGATAGGTACCAAGAAATTTGACATTCCTATTCGAGTACTACTAGCTATTATGGCACTGCTATTTTTTGTTTGGAAGTTTGACTCTTTTGTTTTATCACCATTAAAGTTTAATGGACTTGCCAAGCTCGCTGGTATAGACCATACCTATGTTATCTGATTGGGTAATTCTAGTCGTTTGTGATACAATTTGCGTTCATAAATAAAGTTCATCTGACTCTGTTACAAAAGGTTTCTTAAGCCGGGATTACACGGGTCAAGTAAACGGTCAAGTTGAGCAGTAAAGTCAAGTATTTTTTTCTACTTGCATCGTCTAAACAACTTCGGTCAAGTAAAGTAGTGACTTGCGTCAAGTGACGAGGCAAGTCAAGTGGGGTTCTGCACGGTGAACAAGTAACTTCACTTGACTGCTACCCCCCCTTCACTGGATCGCCAACTTGACCGTCTACTTTACCAATGTAAACAGAAAAAGCAAGAGTAAATAAGATTTTGCGGATTGTGGATTTGTACTCTGTGTTCTTTCAGACTTTTTACCCATTTTGATCACAGATAAGCAAATAATTTTGGTGACTTTGGTATATTGCAAATTGTGAACTAAGGTTGAATTTGTACAAGATGAACTGGTCAGAAGAAGAAATCATGCATTTTGTTAAACTCTATAGTGAAAAAGAGTGTTTATGGAAGAAGAGTAGTGTAAACTATCGCAACAAAAACATGCGAAAAGCAGCTGAACAGGATAGAAAATGAAGGTTTTGGGGTGGCAGAATTAAAGCAAAAAATTAAAATAATGATCAGAAAGCATTGAAAGTTAAAAAATCTAAGAAATGAGGAGGTAAACCGGATGATATATATTCGTTCCAACCGTCAAGTGGTTCCGACAATTGAAAGAAATAATGGATAGCTACACAGCTGAAAATGAAACGAAAAGCATAGTAACTCAAAAGTGTATTTTGATTTTAATAACTGGTAACTAATTTATAAAATTTCGTTGCCAAGACACTGCTCCTTCTTCAGGAATAAAATAATCTATCATTTTGTTTCGCATGTGTTTTGCTATCTCCGACGTCCTCCTCTCAGGTACCCCTGTAAGTTTCTCAGTTCTCGTATCTGTTGTCTCCACTGTCCAGGTATTATTTCGCCAGTGTGTTGGTTTTCACAATCAACCAATGGTGCATTATTAAAGAATTGATCTGGTGATGTTTTTCGTAGCCAGTTGTGAATTACAGTTGTAGCACTAACCAGTTTATTCACAGACGAAACTTTTATCTTTACTTTTGTTTCAAAAACACGAAATTTACTTGCTAAGATTCCAAAATCATTTTCCACTATTCTTCTGGCACGACTAAGCCGATAATTGAAAATATTTTCTTCATCGGTAAGAGGTAGTCGGTATCTACTATATGGTTTAAATAGCTAGGATTTTAGTGTAAAAGCATCATCACCAACAAAAAAGCAACCATCGGGTAGTAATCCTTCTTCTAGAGCTTCTGAAAATTCGTTGTTTTGAAAAATACCACCATCTGAGTTAGACCTCTTTGTCCCTTCTTCAAAATAGGGAAAACAGTAATTGTGACCTACAATTGCCATTAGTACCACGCTGAAGGAGCCTTTATAGTTGAAGTATTCACTTCCAGTATGTGGCGGAGCCTCGATCAAGACATGTTTGTCATCAATGGCACCACAACAGAAAGGAATATTCCATCTTGCTTCAAACCCTTTCGCAACTTTTTTTCCATGCATCAAGTGTATCAGGGACCTGAAAAAATAAACAAAAAATAAAAATTAATCATTAAACAAATGAGAAATATTAAATTAGTATTTCATTCATTTTAGGAAACACAAATCGCTCTACCTAGCGAAAATGAAGAAGGTCTGCTTGAGGAACAAGTCATTGAAGAACCGTCTCCAAATCTAACTGGTAAAACAGGTTCTCGAGTAGAAGCAGGATTAAAAAATAAAAAAGCATAGATAGAAGCACTAGCGGCAGCTGTTGCAGAGATCCGAAAAGTCCAGGAAACAATAACTTCTGATTCCATCAGTGACCATGAAGCCTTTGGCAAGTTCATTGCAGCCAGTTTAAATAAACTGCCCGCTGCTGATTCAATCATGGCGCAAGGTGAAATTCAAAGAGTCATACAAAAATATCGATTAAATGCGTTAAATATGAGCAGTTCTGCTTCTGAGGCTTCCGCATTAACTGCAATTCAATCACCAACCCTTTCTTGGGATTCACCTCCTGCAACTACTCCTGCATACAGCACTAGTTACCCGGTCATGAACGAGGACACATTTGCAAATGATGATGCTGGTATCGGAGATATTATCTCGCAAGCATGGAACTTGACAAACTAAATGTTACAATTGAATTTGTTTGTTTTTTTTTTTATTAAGAAGCCTAAATAAAATTTTAAAAATGTTCTATTATTATCTATTCACATACCTTTAAGAAATCCTTTAAGCAGTCATACACAGTTTCACAAACGATGGAAATCATGATAGATATCGCTGATTTAGAAACTCGTAAGAGATGAGAAAGGGTTCTGTAATTATTACCTGTTGCTAGGTAATTCAAGGTTACTTCCAACATTGTTTCTGGTTTGATAGCGTCTCTCATAATAGTGTCCTCTCGTTGGATTAATGGAGTTATTAAGCCTAACAAACAGTCAAATTTTTCAGTAGTCATTCTGAGCATCATTCTGTATTCTTTAGGATCTTCAACTCTCAGCTCGCTTATTAAATTGGTGGAAGCTCCTTGACTTTCTCTCCGTGTAAGCCATTCTCGACGCCATATCCTTTTTTTCGGGATGTCTCTCTTCCTCCAAAACTTCTTCCAGTTCTTCCACGAGAATATTTGTTAGATTAATAACTCAGTTTCGTATGACAATACGACTTAGGACCATGTCAACTTGCACATATACTGGACTACGTGGAAACGCGCCTTTTGGATCAAGTTGTGAACCAAGTAAAGTAGAATGCAACCACGCAAGTGCGAAGGCAAGTAACTTGACCGTATACTTGACCCGTGTAAACCCGGCTTTACTTTAAAAATGGCCTTTGAAGTATTTTTCCCATAATATGCAAATTCTGTCACACTCGATCATTGCAGCGGTCCTGAAGTTCTTGATAAACGTTAGTCTGACGAAGAGTGTCCTACGAGTGAGGGGCTATGGAACATAACTGTCGTTTACACATTACGACGGCAGCATCCACATCTCCAAGCTTTATGATTACGCCGATCCATTTCTATTCAATTTATTCACAAACCTTCGAGAGATATCCACAAAGCGGACTCACCCCCGATACATAAGATCTAAGCCCCTTTATCGCCAAAGAAAATCACGTATTTCCGGCTGTTTCCACTAAATCTCGAACACAATGCTGGTCGTTGTTGCCAATAGCGTATCGCCGAAAACATAAGTCTAGCGACATCGTCTTGTGTTTTTACGATTATGACCGAGAGTCGCAAGGAATATGTTTCCTCCTCAGAATTAAAGGCTGAATATGGTTAAAGTACCCCTTAACTCCCTTGCGGACCGCAGACGCTAACGCTCGTCATATTTCAGCCCGTCACAGCTCATTGAGTTTAATTAGGTCATTGTTGGCAAGGGTAGAAACGCTCCATTGACTCAAGGGAACTACGTTGACGGTACTAGTGTGGCCAGACAGGCTTCACTCGGAGAAATTAAAGGACACTTTTATAACCGAGCAAAGCATTTTTCTACAACCACGCGGAAAAATCAGCTTTACCACTCGCAGTGGATACACAAAGCTGTTTGTTGAGAACTGATTGACAGTGATAATTTTAACGCTTGCTTGAAAAGCAAAAGAAATCATCACAGAAAGTAAGAAATGAGCCAGTATATCACGATCAAATTTTCCATCATATTTACAAGAAATTGAATCGTTACTGCGATATTTTACATCTACTTTCTCTCAGCTTTTAATAGATTTTCGAATAAATTGTAAGAAAAATTGATGAATCTCTCTCGATTTTAGTAAGGCATCCGACATCATAAGCTGATCTACTTCTAGCCAAGTCTACTTATCTTGGACTTGATAAATCGGCACTACGTTTCATAGCATCACATCTGAAAGGCAGACAAAAACAGGTGGTTCTGGGCACAAATATGTCAAATTTACAGAATGTTCATCCGGGGGTACCACAAAGTTATTAATATACACAACTTATCCAACAAATTTTAACCACATATGCACTGTTACGAAAGAAGTTGATTTCTCAAAAAAATGTAATAGAAGTCCTACAGAAATCGAGATAATAAAATCATACAGTTTAACAGTTCACTTACTTATAAAAGCATTTCAAAATTGTTTCCATTGACTGCAATACAAGCTTGGGCGCGTCTAATCCAATTTTGGCACACTAATTCAAATACACCTCCTTCCTGCTGTGCCTGAAGGCTCAAATTATCGGCAGCATTTGTGATTTGATCACGCAATTCTTCAATATTGATATATTGATATAACTCGTTTTTCAAGAATCCTCATAAAAAGAAGTCCAGAGGACTTAGATCGGGAGACCCCCACGGCCATGCAATTGGTCCACCCCTGCCGATCCAGCGTATCTGGTATACCTGATTCAAAAAATCACGAACTTCTAAATGAAAATGCGGAGGTGCCCCATCGTGCAGAAACCACATCCGTGCTCGGACCGTCAATGGCACATCTTCAAGAAGGACCGGCAAATCATTCCGAAGAAATTCCAAATACTGGTGACCATCCATCCGATCTGGCGATATGAACGGTCCAATTAGACGTTCATCGACAATACATGTCCACACGTTCAAAGAAAAACGATGTTGGAAGTGTGTCTGGACCACTGCGTGAGGATTCTCAAAAGAACAAAGTGTGTACTTTGAAGATGGGTTATCCCATTACGAGTAAAAATAGCATCATCGGTGGCCAAAATGTCAGCTGATAAACGGACATTTCACAACCACTCACAAAATCTTACTCTTACGGGGTAGTCTGTAGGTGGCAACGCCTGGACTTCCTGGACGTGATAAGGGTACAGTTGGGCCTCATGAAATATTCGCCACGCTGTTGCATTTGACACTTCTGGGACCTGTTGGGCTAACTGCCTTGTGCTTATTCCCGGATTTTCTTCCACAATATCCAAAATTTCGACTTCGGCGTTTAAAACGCGTTGTGGGCGAACCCAACCCCCATCATCTCCACGTCTGGGCCGAAAATCTCTACTAGCACGTGCACATAAAACAATTGATGTGGTATGTGCCTATTCGGAAATCGATGTTCATACAAACAAGAAGCCGCTCGCGAATTTTGCCCTGCTTCTCTGCTTAAGCCTGATTTACACGTTCTTATCAGTATGAAAAAACAATAACTTAATTTCTGTAGAACTTTTATTACATTTTTTTTTTTTGAGAACTCAATTTCTTTCGTAACAGTGCATATGTGGTTAAAATTTGTCGGATAAGTTGTGAAACACCCTATACACGTTCGATTTGGTCGTCAAAACTTTATTCTTAAGCTTTTCCCCTGAAGATCTTAAAATGGCTGACTCTAAAATTAATATTGATCTAAAAACTATCAATAACTATTCTGTTATTAATAACATGAAACTCAATCCTCAAAAATCAAATGTCGTACTTTTTGCAAGGCAATTTTAGGCCTGGTCATAGATAAAGATTTATGTTTTTCACGCATGCTAAAATCGTCAACAATACATGCTATTTTAGTCTGAAACTGCTATACAGGGTGTTTCAGAACTATGGGATCAAACTTTTAGGAGTTATTCAGTGTAACAGTCGGAAACATTTGAGTATAGGGACCCATATCCAGCGCTTGTGTGTTGATATCTTTAAAAACGATAACAGAGATTGTTTTATGTAGCTGCATTCCATATCGCCTTAGTCGTGCTATCGTATTTGTGGAGTTTGCAAGAATTTAACAAAAAATAATTGTTGCTAGTGGAAAGCATTACCAATCAAGAATTGGCGGATATGCATTTGGAGCAACAAGCTGCAATGCACGAGCAGCAGCGCGGTTGTATCAAGAACGTTATCCCGAACGACAGCATCCGGGATACAAAAAGTTTATTGCTATTCATCGGCGGCTCTCCGAGACAGGCATGCTTAAAACAAACATGCATGATACTGGTGTTGCTCGAACGGTAAGAACGCTCGAATTTGAAGAAGAGGTCGTTCAGCAAGTTTCCGACGAACCATCAAGTAGCACACGTCACATTGCTGAGGATATGAATACGAGTAACGCTTCCGTCTGGCGGGTGCTACACGAGCAACAACTTTATCCTTACCACTTCCAGAAAGTTCAAGGATTGACTGCAGCCGATTTTCATCCTAGAGTTCAATTTTGTCAATGGCTTCTTCATCAAATCGCTGAACAACCAAATTTTTTACGCTATGTTTTATGGACCGATGAAGCCTCTTTCACAAAAGGTGGTATATAGCCACGTTTGGGACAAAGAAAATCCCCATGCAATTTTTTCTAGAAAACATCAGCAACGTTGGCCTGTCAATGTATGGGCAGGCATTGTTGATGTTTATTTGATTGGGCCATACCTTCTACCGGAGCGGTTAACAGGACCTATTAACCGTCGTTTCTTGGAGGAACTTCTTGAAAATGTTCCATTGAACGTTCGACAGCAAATGTGGTTTCAGCGTGATGGAGCGCCGGCTTACTTTACTGTACAAGTACGTTGGCTCAGTGGTTTCAGCACCGTTGGATTGCCAAAGGTGGAGCAGTTTCATGGCCTCCTAGGTCACCCGATTTAACGTCACTAGATTTTTTCCTGTGGAGATATGTAAAGTCTTTGGTTTACGAAACTCGAGTAGAAACAGAGCAAGACTTAATTGGACGAATTACAGCAGCATTCGAAATCATTCAAAACGAGTATCAAATTTTTAGTCAAGTCCGCCGAAATCGTGTGCGACGTTTAAATCTGTGTATTCAGGTTGGATGAATGCATTTTGAACAACTGTTGTGATGATATCATGTACAAAAGGCAAAAATTAAATGCATTAAATCCGATTTAGGCAATTCATCGTCTTTCTAAATTTTAACGCGTCTTACGGCCGTAGTGCCGTAGTGACACTTTTGCGGATATGGGTCCCTATACTCAAATGTTTTCTCCTGTTACACTGAATAGCCCCTAGAAGTTTGATCCCTTAGTTCTGAAACACCCTGTATACCAGCGGGCACTTCCTCAGTTTTAAAACAAAACAGCGATTACGTGAATCCTTAATTATTTTCAAAATTTCATATGGAATCATCCTTGCTTAGATCAAATGTGCGCCTACAGACTACAGAAAATTTAAAATTGATGTTGCCTGTTAACAAAAAGTCTTAGGAAATATCATCCAACATTCTGGATGGCTCAAAATTAATAACCTGTTCAAATATTTATTATCTGTCATTTGTAAAATTTATTTATTTTTTAACTAGTTATTCACCACTACGTTTAAGAAACAAGCTAACATTTAGAACACGCATTCATGATTTAAATTTGAAGTTTGACGACA